ATTCACTGGGACCACATTGGTCAGGCAAAAAGAAGAAAAGGAGGAATTGTGGCACCTTAGAATTGAACAAATTTATTAGAGCATAAGCTTTCGTGGACTACAGCCCACTTCCAAAGAAGTAGTCCACGAAAGCTTATGCTCTAATAAATTTGTTAGTCTCTAAGGTGCCACAAGTACTCCTGTTCTTCTAAAATGCATACTGTTTGCTTGCACCTTGTTTACCAAGAAATCCAGATTGTTCTAAATGTGAGTTGTCCTCTTTATTATTTACCACTTACTGGGTTACCCTTTATTCCTGGTAACTATGGGGCTTTTTTAAGTCCAAAAATTACATGTCAGAAGATAGCTGTAAAGGTGCAGTGAAATCTGTTACTTTTATTCATATTCCGTTCCAGACTGGAGGAGTGTGCTAAGAAAGCACTTCCTCATAGATAACATTGTTAACTTCCTACAGTATCTGAGAAATCCCCATGGCAGTATGGGAAGCTTTGAAAAAAATTTTGCGTGTCAAAACTACTTTGGAACATATACTGTTGAGACTTCTTAAACACAACAGTAGGCTTTTGAGCTAAGCACCTGCTGCCTTTGGTTAACCTTTGGGGAAGAAAGGGAGCCAAACAGTTAATCCGGAAGCTTCAATGGATTCACTTTGCTTTTGAGTTTGGTGTAGTATCAGTTATATTAATAAAGTAAGCGTGTTCTAAAAATGATCTGCATCCACTTCAGAAACAAACATCCCCATTCGACCTCTGTGCTTGACCATGAGTGATGCATAAACTCATTGTGTTATCACTTTAATTTCTACCTATTTTCAAGTTTAAAACCCTAACACTGTTACTAATGAATTGGTACTGAGTCACTTCTGCCAGAAGTGTTAAATTATTCTGTACAGTTCAGTAAAATAGGCTTCTTGAAATGCATTTGAGGAAGAAGCAAGAAAAGGGAACCTATGGTTTCTCACCTATGCAAAAACAAATCAGTAGTATTGTTGTGAAGGGGTGAAATACTCGCCCTATTAAAATCAGTGGCAAAAATTCCGTTGACTTCTTGGGGCCTAGACTTCACCTAACGCATGTAGGTAGAATTAAGTGTATAATTAGTGTTAAGCATAGTGCTATGCATGTTCATCCTACTGCATTTCTTGTTAGTCAAATGTTATCAGTTTCCCATGATCAGTTGTGTTGATCCAAAACTGTGTGTTTAAAGCTTTTGAGCAATGAAGTATCTACTTGTAATTTTAATTCAAACGAGGATTTCAGAAAATCTAATTTGATTTTAGTCTTAGGTAGGGGATTTTTGAAACTGAAATTTAGATAAAGGTGAAGAAATTCAAAACTTAACTTGTTAATATTGTAGGTGAAATGGTGCGGCAGGCCAGGGTTCTTGCTCAAGCTACTTCGGATCTTGTCAATGCTATGAGGTCAGATGCTGAGGCTGAAATTGACATGGACAACTCTAAAAAGCTTCTAGCTGCAGCTAAACTTTTGGCAGATTCTACAGCTCGCATGGTTGAAGCTGCAAAGGTACCTACCAGGAAACAGTGAACTGAAGAACCTGAAAGGCACTGAATATTAACTTAATTCTTCATACCTGTGCGCAAACATGAGTCATTATGTGTAGTTAGTAGGTTGTAAATAGGAATTGTTATAAAGCAGAAACCTTGCTTAGCCTATGAATGTTTGGGTTGCATTTGACAACTTCACTGGGTACTTTAACTAAAAGTCCATTAGACGTTTGCATATTAGTTGATCCATTCTTTCTGGATTCCAAAACTCTTTCCATATTCTTTTGGTGACTTTACTGACCTGATAGATGTATATGTCCTTGACTTACTAATACTTTTTCAGGCCTTAAAAAGGGAAAAACTAACATGTCAAACTTAAGTCCTAATTCAACATTCTGATAATTAGATTATAACTACTAAAAGTCTTGTTAAATTGGGAATTAAAAAGTGAACTTTAAATACTGTGATTATATAAATACTGTAATTGTTAGAGCACAGATAATAGACAATTTACAGAATAGTAGTTCCCTACTATATGTGGAGTTTTAACATGTAGTTGCCCAGTAGAAGTAAATATTGCCCTGAAGAACAATATTTTACATTGACACTGTGTGGGGAGTAATGGAGCTATGTGGTTTAAAACGCTGGACTATGTACTGAAAGTCTGACTGCTTTCTTCACTATATTTAACATGGTAAGCAGTAACCTGCACCTACAATGAATTTCTACCTGAAATCATGATGATAGTTGAACTTCCTTCTCTAATTCATCTTAGAGTGACGTTAATCTGTAGAAATCAGGTTGATCAGATAGAGGATAATGGGAATTAAATTCCTTGTATATTTTAATATGTAGACATGGACATTTTTTGAAGATTTGTATTTTACTCGCAACTCCTGTGTAGGGGGCTGCAGCAAATCCTGAAAATGAAGACCAACAGCAGAGACTGAGAGAAGCGGCCGAGGGATTACGGGTTGCCACGAATGCAGCTGCTCAGAATGCCATCAAGAAGAAAATTGTCAACAGATTAGAGGTTTGAAACCAAACTCTCTTGATTCTATTATTTTACACTTCTTTAATTATGCAAACCCATATCTGCGTAGGCACATTCCAACAATTATAAATGCAGACTTTAGACAAAAAATCTCAAGTTCCCCATAAGAAATGGACCTAAACACAGCTAATATGGGGCACTTTCATTTGAAAGTTGCATTCCAGACTGAGTGTAGTGTGAAATTAACTAGTTTGCATATTAAATGTTTTATTAACTTGCAATAGTTTAGTTGTCAGTAACAAACAGGCTGGAGGGATTTTTGTTATTATGAGACTGCTGTATTCATTCAGCCATTTTATTGGTGGTGTGATCTTCAGGGTAAATACAATGGAGTGCTCACTGTTTCATTTCCATTTAAATAATCATCCGTAGTCCTGTGATTTGTGTTTTTTACCAAATATTATTTGAGATTTTTTAACAAGAATGTGCAACAGAACTTCACTTAAACTGCCCCCCAAACACATCTGATTGCATCACAACTAAACTCTAAAGCCACCCAAAGAAGCAAAGGATCAGAAACAAAGTTGGAAGCAATACATAATAGCCAGAGGTGCAGCAAAGGAAAAAGGGCAATTTGTTGTACTGTAGAGATGAAATTCAGCCTACTTTAATCTTCTAGAGACGTCTGACCTTCACAATTGCAAATTAAATGTACAAAAGACTGGGGGGCGGGGGCGGAGACACCTCTTAGGTACTGGTTTTCAACTGAGATTTTACAATAGTCTGAAAATGATTCTAGTGGATTAAGATGAGACCAACAAGAAGATCTGAGTAGATAATCTTCATCTGGATGTATATTGTATTAAAACTACTGTGTCAATGTAAAATGAGAGAATCTTGAGTAGTTTAAGCAGTGACGCATTAGAATGAACTTTTTAGCTACATTATAAGAAACCCTTGTAGAAAATAAGGTGTTATTTTTCTGTAAAAATATCTTACCTTTTTCCCCTCTATGAGTAATCTGTGTCAGTAATAGTTTAGATGAACTAACAAGCTCATGTTCAAGGATGGATGTATTTATTAGGTGGGTTAATTAAGGAATGGTGTTAAGAATAATGTTAAGAATATTGTTCATATTGGAATGTATTTGGCAAGAGGTGGAATTTTATTCTTTTGGTAGAGAGAGGTGTGTAGAGAGAGACCAGTAATAAGATTTCTTAGTATTTGAGTTCAGGGTCTCCCTCTGTATTTTTAGACCCAAGCAAACTCATCCCTTCATGTCTTCCACGTATGATCACCTTAGTGTCTTACCTTTTTTGTCTTGAGCAGTCCCAAGTAGAACTGGTCCTTTGCTCCCATGAGGAATGCTTTTCAAGGTACATCCATGATTCTGATCTTTGGACTGCTAATGTAGCAAATGGACTGCTCTATTTATCCTCCTCTCCTTTTATTGACCCCTTATATCCCTAGAACTAACCCCTGCAAGTTGTTCCACTCCATAGGCATGGTCTCTTCCATGGTGGTGCAATGTATTATTGCCAAGTGACTATAGCAGGTAGCAGAGTATTGCGCAATCAAGATGTCAGTGACAAATCACTTTAGGTTAAACTCGAGAGAGAGTTTGCAAATGTGTCTACATTGTTTTTAAACATGGTGCCAAGTTCTTCTTTGGAATCTAAATCCAGTTTGTATTACTAATTTCCTTGATGTGTTTTGGATATTGCAGTTCCATGATAGTTGAATTCGAAACCCTTGCAGTTGACTTTCTGCACATAACAGACAATACTCTTACTACTTCAACCTGCGTCTTAATTAAAATGCTATGGATGAGGGGAGAGGCTCCTTTGAAAGAATTCCTGAATCCACACAAACAGCTGGACTTTATTCCTAATGCTTTAGATCAGTGGCTCTCAACCAGAGGTCTCAACCAGGGGGCCACCAGCAGGTTTCAGGGGCTCCGCCAAGCAAACCCAGCATTAGATTTGCTAGGGCCCAGGGCAGAAAGCCAAAGCCCCACAGCATGGGGCTGAAAGCCCGGATCCCCAAGCCCCGCTACCCAGGGCTGTAACCAAAGCCTGAGCAACTTAGCTTTGCGGGGCCCCCCATGGAATGGGGCCCTGGGCAATTGCCCTGCTTGCTACCCCCTAACACTGGCCCTGGCTTGTATATGGAGAAAAACAGCTGTGGCACAGGTGGGCCGTGGAGGTTTTTTCAGCATGTTGCAGGGGCCTCGGAAAGAAAAAGGTTGAGAACCCCTGCTTTAGATTACTGTGGGTCTTCACATCTCATTCAGCAGCCTGTCATTATGCTGTAGGCTATTTTAACAATAGCTCTTCAGTATTCCTAATAAGTTTTTGCAATGAAAGACTAACAATGTGAAGAAGGAAGCTCTTAGCATGTTTATGGTGCCAGGTGTTTTTTTCCTTTGTTGTTAGAAATGTACGGATTGATAATAATGATCATTTCATTTTTCATCTGCAGTGGAAAGTGACAGAGTTCTTTATGGTAAATTAAGTCAAGGGGAGGTAATGACTTCATAGGTTCCAGTTGCTAAATGCAATAATGCCTATTTTATCTGTTGTGTTCTCTACATTACTCAAGCTTATACCAGTTCAGCCTTTTAACTGTTTTTCCCCCCCCTTTAAAGTTTGCAGCTAAACAGGCAGCAGCTGCTGCCACTCAGACAATTGCAGCCTCTCAGAATGCGGCCGTTTCCAACAAGAACACAGTAGCCCACCAGCAACTTGTCCAGAGCTGCAAGGTAATATTTCCTAACAGAGGAAGCAGTCACTTGGCAGATAATCTGTAGTCTGTGTCCCTTTTAATGCAGTTAATTTCTTAGGAAACTGAAATTCAGCTCCCTTGATTTAATCACTTTGTGCCTTTGGACAGGAATTCTTAAGTTGAATGTGTCAGTCTGACTCCAAAGCATTTGATTCTTGTTCCGTTGCTGTACCAAATAGAACGCTGCATTTACTTCTAAGAATGCTTTTTTCCTGTTTTGTTGCCCACAGTTAGTTATCATCTGTTAAAGTCAGGGAAATGTTGTTTTAGAATGTGTGCAAGGCAGCAGTGTGCCTTGTCCAATGTAGATGCCTTTTACAAATGTTTAGGCAGTACCTATTACAGAGGATGAGCGGATGTGAATATTTTTTGCAAGTATCTCCAAAATGCAAACTCTTGGGGTGTATGCTGCAGATTAATCAGCAATACCCTACATGCAGCGTACATCAGGCAGAGAGGTGTTAAATTTGATTATAAACTGGATTACTTTGGGGGTTGCCTTGCACTGAAAGAGTAGTGAACTGACAGGAAGCCTTCACGGCCACTTCACTGTGTAGGAACCATCCCATGGTGAATCGCCTTCAGAGTCTGTATGCTTTTCCAGAGCTGTCTAAGGAGCATTGCTTGAAGTAGTGTACTCAGTAGTAGTACTCCGGGGACAGATACAAAGCCTACTGGAACTTACTTAGGCCTTACCTCTTTGTTTAAGGTCTTAATTGGTCCTGACTAGAGAAATAGGAGACATTGTTCCTTTGTAGTGACCAGTGGAATTAGGTGTAACATTCATGGCCAGTGGCTGGTGTTTATTAGCTGTGCCCCCAGCATCACTTGACACAGCAGAAGTACAGATCTTCTACCCTATTAGTAATTGGTATCTGTGCCATGCTTCTTGAACTGTGTGGCTGCTAATCACAATATGTGTATATCGCCTCCTGAAGGCTGTTCAGGGGGAGGTTTGTGTGGTGGAAATTCTTATACAGATTTCATGAATATGAGGAATTATCACTTGTGACTGTCAACTTGTGCTTTTCTGTTGTGCATTACAAGAGATTTAACTTCATGCCAGATAAGTGGCTGCGTGGTATCATGTAGGCCAACTGGCAGAGTGCTCTTTATGGTCAGAGTTGGTATCCAGTGAATATTGTACAGGTGGGGAAGGGAAGGTATGTCTCTGTTCTCTAGGGGTGCTCCAGTACAGGTAAGGAGGTTGTATCGCAGTCCAGAGTGCAGCTGCCCAAGAGCAGTACTTTCCTTCCCTTTCCTTGGTCCATGGACCTGACTTGTCTAATTTAGATTGTAATCACCTTGAGCAAGGACTGACCTTCTACACGTGTGTAAAGCACCATGTTCACGAGAGATGATATGGAAATGATGAATAGTAACGAAACTGGACTGGGGTGACGACTACTAGTGAAATTTCTGAATGCTCTATTTTAACACACTATAAAGCAAGGCTAGTGGCTTGTGGTGTAATGAGAAGAAATGCTTCCCTAGTGTACTGAGACAACATGGATAGCAGCTTGATACTGTGACCCAGGTTCACCTTGTCACCCTACATGCAGCCTATGCCCTTAAATTCCCTTTCCAAACCAAATTGTAATGAGACCATAGTGTTGGGTTATGGGATTCCAGATTCACTGACGAGTAGGTTGCTGAGAGCACAGAGCTGTGATATGCCAGAGGTAAGCACATGGAGACGCCCTCACATTTTCCTGATTGTAAGCCAGAGCGCAGAGTAAGTCGCTTGACAAGAGACTGTTCTTTTGTGGTTTAGCTACAGCTGGCAAACTAATTTGTGCTTGTGAATAATGTTGCTTCAAGACCCCTAGAGAAATAAGAAATCAAGTGGAGTGCAAAAGAGCCTATTCTTCTACTGAGAGAAGCTATGCAGAAGTCAGGAACACCGCAACTATAATAGACATACATTTTCAAGTCAAAGATCCCAGAAAAAGACATTAACACTTACCAATTGGCTATTAAGTATATTACCTTCCACATTCGAGTTTTTGAAAATTTGGTAAATAAAAGAAGTAGCTTGAACATATCTCAAAGAGCGGGGCATACAAAACTTATCTGGTAGGTAGATGATATTTTTTTCAATAGGATAAACTGCCTTTTGCATTTCTATGTGTTGACTGCTGTTCATTCAAGTTTAGCTTTGACATTGATTTATTATACAGCAGATAAAATCCGCTTTTGAAGTTTCTTCCTGAAGTGGAAAACATTTTTGGAGACTGTATTGGAGATAAATCATGTGAACACGAGTTGACATTTGAATAGGGGTGAGAATACAATTTTAACAATATACATTTTCAGAACATTACAACCATACTATAAACATCTTATTGGAAGTCAGATAAAAGTAAGGTGAGTACCAAAGGAGAGAGAGAGAGTTTTCTTGAAGCAAGAAGGGTGCTTGAAAGATCTACACAATTAAGCAATTTGGAGTGTAAAACAGTAGTTTAAATGTCCAAAACAAAACATTCCTGAGTCAGTGAAAATATCTCTGATGAACCTTTTTTGTTACAGAAAAGTCTTAACCTTCCTTTATAAACTAACTTCTAGAATTCTATAGGAAGAGTCAAGTTCTTCAAATACTGTAGGAACTCTCCTAAACAGTCAATCTCAGATTTATTAAGTTCTGTGAAATCCTAACTATTGTCTACAGAATCATATTGGTATCATCCCTTTTAAATTCTGTAGCTCTCTTCCATAGGATGTGAGGCTTTGTTTAGTATTGAATGAGTTTTTAAATTTAACAATTAAAACTTGCTCCTTTGTTGCCGACAGAATGTTGCTGACCACATTCCTCAGCTGGTGCAGGGTGTGAGGGAAAGCCAGGCTCAGGCGGAAGACCTCAGTGCTCAGCTTGCGCTGATAAATTCCAGCCAGAACTTCCTTCAGGTAAACTGAATCAAAGAAATTCAGGATATTTTTTTTTCCTCAAGAGCACCTTGTGGGTCTTGAATTGTCTTCACTTTGTGGAGTGAGAAATTTGCATGTCACATTGGAAGGACAAATTGAGAGCTCTGTGTTTAGTCATTGATTGTGATGAGGAGAACTTAGTTTGTCACTGGGGCAATAGGTGTTGCCACAACTGCCCTGAGTTTGAGCCGCAGGTAACACAGGCTACTGTCTGTTCAGCTTTCCTTGAAAGTGTGAAAATGTGATACACTTTGCGCTGAGATTGGCTATTGAAAAGGAGGCTCAATTGGCAAGGCAGTGAAAATGCCATGAGTGTCTGGAACCTTGCCTAAACTAGAGCTCTTACACATTCCACTGGAGCTGGATATACCATCATTGTACAGTTCCTTAGTTTAGATATAGCCACAGTGTTTCATCTGGAGTTCTCAAGTGTCACCCCTGCTTTTCAGATGGCTTTCTGAGACACAGAAGTGATCTAACTTAATCAAGGTTTTGAGGAGAACCCAAGTGATGAGCAACAATCTATGCTTCCTTCCAAACACCGAACAAAAGATAAAGGGTGGTTTTAATAACAAAGGGCCAGATGTTGCTTCAAGATAAATGTTGGAACTATTATTGGCAGTTAAAATAAAATCAGGAAGCTCTATACTGAAATGTTATAAATTTTTCAGATTTGTCAGGCACTCCCTTCTGTCTTATGGGGAAGAAGTGAATCTTTTCAGTGGTCACTGTCACCACTTGGTGGGGTATTAAAAGTGAAATAAGGCATTGAGTCTAATTCTACTCATGTTGCTGTCACAGGACTGTCTCAAGCTGTGGTCTGGCTTGCATAAAATCAAAAATCACAGGTGCTTTTCTCTTTTGAGAGCTGCACATTTTATTTTCCTTCCCTGAACACATTCCAAAGCACAAAGGAAAAGAACAAAGCCCAGAATGACAAATCAAGTCCGCCAGCTTCCTGTGTTTAAAACTGCCTCCACTCAAGCTCAGGAGCTGTTTTTCTCTGTGCTTGGCCTGATTGGCGCCAGACCTAATCAGCCTCACCTGACCTGACATGATTTAATTAGGGCAATTATCCCCTTTCTGTTCTGACTAATTTGTCATTAAGGTACTCCATGCAGCACTGGAGCACCCTGTCACAGTTAGCTCACCCATATAGTCCCATTGAAGTCACTAGGACTACTCACCTTGTCTGTTTAAGTACTTGGGGCCCATGGAGATGACATAGTATTGGAAGGTAAGCAAGGTGTGTTATCCGCAGATCCTGTGCTGGTTTATTACTTAACTGATTTTTTTTCTGTTTACTAATATTGAGAAGGAAAACATTAAATATTCAGAAATGTTGCAAGAAATTACAAATGTACCATGTATATTGTCCATGTATGTCTGTGTAAACATATGCACAACTGATAAACTGTTCTGTTTAAATATTTAAACTCCCTATTATTTATTTATTTATTTATTTATTTATATTACAGGAGCCACTTAGAGGCTCCAGTCAGACATTGGTACCCATTGAGCTAGGCACTGTGCAAATAAATAAAGCAAAGACAATGGCTGCTGCAGAGATCCCACTGCTCAGGATTATGACAAGGCACAACATGTGAATACACGAATCGGGATTGGATAGGGATAAAGCATAGGTAAAACTGGATGCATTTGCAGTGGTCCTAGTAGTCAGGTGGCTGCCAGCCTAAACAGTGGTAATGGCAAATAATGGCAAAACTTAGTGTCCTAAGTGTTCTGTCAGTTCTAGACCTAGTTTCATATTGGAAGCATTTATACAAGGTTATAGGCATGAGCTGATGAATCACAACGCATTCTTCTTTAATCTTTAAATAGCCTGGAAGTAAGATGGTGGCATCCGCCAAAGCTGCAGTACCTACTGTAAGTGACCAAGCCGCAGCAATGCAGCTAAGTCAGTGTGCCAAGAACCTTGCAACGAGCTTAGCTGAGCTAAGAACTGCCTCCCAAAAGGTGGGTCAATATCCCTTTTGAGCAGTTAGAGGTTAACTGTGGCTTACAACACCTGATTTTGTAAAAGTTTGTGTGCAGTAGGAAATGTCATTTGGAAGTCTGTATTCATTGCTGTTCTTTTAGCTCTATTGATTGTGAGTTAATCACCTAAAATGAAATTGAACGGTGCTAAATATGTCTCAGTTCCCTTTGTGGCTCTGGACAATGAATTCCTCTGCTGGCAAGCTAAGTATGTTGTGCAGTAGTTTTGTATCCAAGATATGCAGCATGCCAAGATGACCTTTGGTGTCTGCCTAGTCTCTTCAGAAACAGATAATCTTCCAAGACATGATCACTGATGAATCTTCCCATTTTTGGTGGTAGGACAGTTGCTTAATGATCCTAACGGTTTCTGTTTGTCTATTTTCTGGATAGGCTCATGAAGCATGTGGCCCTATGGAAATTGACTCTGCTTTGAACACAGTCCAAACACTCAGAAATGAACTGCAAGATGCTAAGATGGCCGCTGTAGATGGACAGTTAAAACCACTCCCAGGAGAAACGGTAACTAGTGGGGCAGAAGAGGCTTAGCATGGTCATCATTTAGGAATTCTGTCCCATAACTTGAGTGAGCTGTTGTTAAAATTCAGTTTTAAGGTGTCATTGGTAAAAGGAGTCCGTCACATGCTCATTCCAATGGCATTTTACACAGATATTCTTCCAAAATCCATTCCCAACACTAGGTGCTGGAAGTAGGGGTGCTGGGAGTGCTGCTGCAGCAGCCCTGAGCTTGAAGTTGTTTCCATCGTATACAGGGGTTACAGTTTGGTTCAATGGCTCTGAGCACCGCCACTATACGAATTGTTCCAGCTCTGACACCAGGAAACATCCTTATGCCAATAAGAAAGTGTTCTCTGGCTGAAATAATTTTTGGAGGCAGGGCCTCCTTCCCTAGAGTACTGAGGGGAAAAAAAATCAGCTTTTAAGGATGCTGTCATAAAGATTTTTAAGGTCTTTCTTTCCTTTGTTTAGCCAGTACATTGTAATGAAAAATACACACGAGCTCATTACTTGATTTTTATTTTTTTTACCTTGGGCTTAGAGAGCAAAATATGTTCTTAAAAAATACGTCATTATTTATATTGCTAATTATCAGAACTAAATTTTAAAGCTCTAATTTCCTTCTCATAGTGCCTGCTATTTGCTACCTTCATTTCATTCAACTTGTACAATGAAAATACAAGGGTCTGAGACTCACTAATGCAGGGCAGCAAGGTGTAGGTTTCAGTAGCTGAGGTGGATGCTAGTTGGGAGGGAGGGAGGAAGGGGGCGGGAAATCTTTCCATTGCTCTTGGAAGGAAAATGTATTTTAATTCAGTTTAAACAAAGACTGTTATCTCTTGAATATTTTCACAGCTGGAAAAATGTGCGCAGGACCTCGGAAGTACCTCTAAAGCTGTTGGTTCATCAATGGCCCAGCTGTTGACTTGCGCTGCTCAAGGCAATGAGCACTACACAGGTACTGTTACTGGAAATTGCTAATGAAAATAAGACACTTTGTAAAAGAAGATACCAGGTTGCAGAGGCTGCTGTCTAGCAGTGTATATTCAATATAAGTTGGGGCTTCTGTTAAATTTAAAAAAAAAAAAAAAAAGGGACAATCCAAACCTGAAGAGGAGATAGCTCTTCAATGTACAATTAAACGCCATGTGGTTTAGAGATTAGTGTTGTGAGACCCCCGTTAAGCTGAAAATGCTGCAATGTGCATATTGAATAGTTGAAAGCACTTGGTTTTTTTATGTTTTCCCCTGTAGATGGGAAAACTGAGGGAGAGTGGTTAAGTGACCAGCCTCAGAGGAGGAGTCATTGTTAAGCCAGGATTAGGATTTAGACATTCCAAAACACACTGCCCTTTAGCTAGATTTTATTGTGGTATAGGACCTTATTCCTCATTGGAATTTCTCATTTGTTTTGCCTGTGCCTGTATGTATATTTCCAGGTGGCCAAAGCTGTGTCTCACTCATTAAATAACTGTGTGAATTGTCTGCCTGGACAAAAGGATGTTGATATGGCCTTGAAGAGCATTGAACACAAGATGTGTTTGTTAAAACGGTGCACCCCTTACTGCATGTTCTGAATTTACATGTATCATGCAGTTAGTATCTCTAATTCATGCATCAGATTTGCATAGTAAGGGATAAAGCCAGTGGATGACATGGATGCACAATCTTTCCATGTGTGGTTTTCCACAGTTACTCCAGCTCGCGTGTTGTGTGCATTATTTTACTGAAATAGGTCTGTTTCTAAAAAGTATTTACATTTCTGTTTTGGAAAAGGATGCGTACATTTAAATGGACGTCAAATATTAGTCCTTAAAATTCTCTAAGTAGGTGTTGACGTTAATGCTGAAATGGGATATTTTTAAATATTATTGATAATCTTTATGGCAATTACTGTTTAACTTGATGTAATTGGATCAAGACTACACAGATGTCAGTTGCTTTCATTTGAACTGGATATAATTGGATTAAGATGACACAAATTTTACATAGTCATACAGAAGTCAGTGTTGGATGTCCAATGAAAATTCAGAAGTCTTGATACTTGAAGCTGAAATCTAGTAGCTCTTTTAAAATCAAGCAATAAGATAGCTGTTAGGTTAGAAAATCCTAGCCAGTAATGCATTCCTATTTAGTTGAAAGTCCTCTTCAGTATCTGTTTCCGTACTTTCTATCCAATACAAACTTTGGTAATATGAAAATCTTTTTGTGCTTGAACAAATGCTGAGGTGGTGGTCTATGGGTGTTTTGTTGTTTACTGCATAGCACTTGGGTACTGTTAATCCTAATTTTATATTCCACTGGTGGAAGAGTCACTGCAGTTCATATTTGTCCTTCTGTTCATTTGCGAGTTTCCTTTGTTTTGTTTGACTGAAACTCACCGCCCCCAAATGAAGACTGAACCATCAGGCATTTTTTTTATTGTTGCTGCATGATATGTGATGACCCCTCCCCCACTTTTATAAATCTGCGCAGCTGTTATATTCGACATTTCAGGTGCTGACTTGCCTCCTGGAGGACTTTGGCATGATCTTTAAAGGACTAGGTTGGAGCCATAAATATTAAAACTCATCTTCCTCATTTTCCCTTTTATTGAGACTGACAGTAGCTGCATCTCAGGCTCAGCAGTGATCAGGACCCTATTGATCTGTGTGCTATGAGTGTCCCTGCCCTGAGGAGGTCAAAGGTTAAATAAACAAATCAGAATAATTAGGGAAGGGGAAGATGCCATAGAAAGGTGAAGTGACTTGCACACAGTCATACAGCAGGTGAGTGGATAATCTGGGATTAGAAGACAGGACTCCTGACTCCCATTCCAGTGGGAAGTAACTAGTGAAGGAAAAAAGAATTCAGAACCTGACACTTCTAATGTAGAAAAAAGAGGATTTTTCTGGGGAGAGATGAGGAGTTATTTGTGGCTTATAAGTAAGGAATAGGCCAGGGCAAAATTTGTATTGCAGGTCACTGAAGAGAGGGATGGAAACTAGAAACAGTGGCAAACCCGATCAGTGCATAGAATTAACCCTGCTTTACTTCTGCAATTGTAGTACTGAGCATGTTCACATTAATACACTTTTAATTAGCGGCCATGTAATTTGTGTTCATTAAGTTGTGAAACTACATCCCAGCTGTGTAACTGTCTAAATATTTATAGATTGGAAAGCAAGTGATGTAACAAAGCAGACTGGTGCAGTGAATGGGAACCTTTTTGTAGTATTTTTGTTGTAGGAATGACAGAATTAACCTCTGTGCTGCAACTGAAAAAGACCACCTACATAAATGGAGCGTGTTGTTATGCAGTTCGTTGCTGTGTAGACAATGATTTTACCTCTGTTACTCTGGGGGCTAATAAAGATCATTTAACAGTTCCAGAGTACTATATAGCATTTCAGTAAGGATGAATTAAACACAAGATAGCTACTTTCTTCCACTCCTTGCAGGGTCACAGGTCTTGGCAACATGGCTGTGAACATATTGAGAGTATAGGTCAGACAGGCTACACAAGCCAGTTTTCATAGGTCTGCTACATGACTGTCTGCATGCTGAAACTAAGTTATGCTACTGCGCTGCTTTCTCCTTGAAATCCTCTGTGTAGCTTTTATACTTCAATTTCAGCTTGTGCCCTATCCAGCTTTGGTGAAAATTTCAAAAGCCTAAGTCCCATTTTCCAAAGAGATTTAGACTCTCAGGGCCCTAAGTCTCCTTGGAAGCCAATAAGAGTCTAAATCCTAAGTCATTTAGGCCTTGGCTACACTTACCCGGTAGTTCGGCGGCGAGTGATCGAACTTCTGGGTTCGACTTATCGCGTCTAGTCTGGACGCGATAAGTCGAACCCGGAAGTGCTCGCCGTCGACTGCGGTACTCCAGCTCGGCGAGAGGAGTACCGCGGAGTCGACGGGGGAGCCTGCCTGCCGAGTGTGGACCAAGGTAAGTTCAAACTAAGGTACTTCGAACTTCAGCTACGTTATTCACGTAGCTGAAGTTCCATACCTTAGTTCGAATTAGGGGGTTAGTGTAGACCTGGCCTTTGTCTTTTTTGAACTTGTTACCACTGGTAGCTAAGACTTGTACTTTTTCACTAGCTAAATAGGAAGTAACTTGAAACTGTTAAATTTTTCTTCTTCTCCCTCCATAAAAAAAGATCTGTTTGGTGATTTAGAACCACCCTGAAATGAGCTTTTGTGGGTATAATATTGATTTTATGGCTTTGCTGTGGTTATTTCTCAAACGTGTTCACATCTGAAACACACTCATTTTAAAATGTTTGCAATGTTCTGTAGAAAGGGGGTCATTACCTTGCAATTCAGCTGCCATAAAAGAATACACATTGCGCCTTAGAGGATACTAACCAAGTATTTAATGAAATCTGAATGTAGGGGTTGCTGCCAGGGAGACAGCTCAAGCTCTGAAGACTTTGGCTCAGGCAGCAAGAGGCGTTTCAGCATCCACCACTGACCCAATGGCAGCACATGCAATGTTAGATTCTGCAAGGGATGTCATGGAAGGCTCTGCTATGCTTATTCAGGAAGCAAAACAGGCTCTGGTTGCACCTGGGGATGCAGAAAGTCAGCAGAGGTTAGCTCAGGTAAGTTGCAACCTGGACTAGTGCGCCTGCTGTACAAAAAGTGCAGAGAGTGACTTCATGTTTAGCTCAGGGCACTAATAATGCAGCCAGTTCTGGAATGTAATATTCTAGGCACCTTTGGGAGACATGCTGTTAATGTAATTCTCTTTACAAAGGCTTCTTTTTAAGAGATGCAGTGATGTGCCTGTTGTACCTTACGGCATATGAATAAGGCCTTTAGCCCATGCCTTATTTGGGCAGTATACTCTTGATTGTGAAATAGAAAAAATAATTAAATTTGATGTTACCAAATGAAGGGTCCTGAGTCGACTTGCGGTATTTGTAACACAGCCATCTTTCTAAACAAGTGATGTTTGAGCATTACTGGATCTCATCATTGTGTTATCGGAACGAAAGGTCCTTTTTCTGTTTACTGAGGGAGTTTGACTATTTTTAAATCAAAATTTGAGAGACGTGTTTTAAGTAATAGTGCCTTGAGGCAGAGCTGCACAGAGGTTTTAGGGAATCTGGGGAAATATCTGAAACTCAGGCCCTCCATCCTTCCAAAAATATTATCACTATGGGGTGCAGCTTGACTCCTGTCCCATGGGGCTGGCCCTGGCTTCACGCCTCAGGTGTTATGACCTGGCATGCAGAGTCGTAACTCCTCTCAGGTTTGTCCCAGCAGTCCCTCCATCGTGGGGGGAGGGGGAGGATTTCAGTGAGTGGTGTTGCAACTCAGTATGTGAGATTTCAGTGTCTCCCAGGCCAAACCTGAGGGGCACTGCGACCCTGCACACCAGGTTGCAACGCCATTTGGTTTGGGGCACTCTAAAACAGGGGGCCCAGGGCAAACCGCCCCATTTGCTCCTTTCCCCCCAGGCAGCCTTGCTGCAGGCTTGTGTGAACAATAATACTTAAAGCTTTTCTGTAACTAACACCCGGTTCGTTGGCTAGTTTCCCCTGTAGATGGGAAAACTGAGGGAGAGTGGTTAAGTGACCAGCCTCAGAGGAGGAGTCATTGTTAAGCCAGGATTAGGATTTAGACATTCCAAAACACACTGCCCTTTAGCTAGATTTTATTGTGGTATAGGACCTTATTCCTCATTGGAATTTCTCATTTGTTTTGCCTGTGCCTGTATGTATATTTCCAGGTGGCCAAAGCTGTGTCTCACTCATTAAATAACTGTGTGAATTGTCTGCCTGGACAAAAGGATGTTGATGTGGCCTTGAAGAGCATTGGAGAATCCAGCAAGAAACTGCTTGTTGATTCGGTGAGAAATCTTTGATGTTAAATGGTGTTTCAGAAGTAAAAATCTGGCCTGGGTTTCTCACAATTTAAATTCTTGAATAGCCGATATACTCTAGATTACAAGTCAGTCTTGTATAGTAGCCATTTTTTATCCTGAACTGCTTTTCTGTTGATTTTGGGAAGTCTCCATGTTTGTGACTTGTAAAGATTGCTAACCCTGCCTAGGTTAACATTCGCTCCTTTGTTGTAGTCTCAGCAGAGGGACCAATGATTGAATGGATGCGGACACTTAAAACATACAATCTGTTTTCTTCCTAGAAGTGATCCTTTTGAGTCAGTATAAGAACCATGATCCCTGCCACCTTGGGATATTCCCTTCTGATGCTTTGTATCAAAATGTCACTATTTTTCTGTTGCATCCCTTCTAAAAATCTGTGGTGAATCTGTTTAAATGAAATTACAAGTCATGTCCCTATTTCCCACCCTGAATGTCACTAATAGCTGGCAAACTGGTAACTTGCCTGAGGCATATGGATGTTCTGTCGTTTGGTCAAGTTTACTCTTCCATTATTAGTTCCACCTGTTCCACAGATGAATGGAGGATTGTACATTCAAGTACAATCAGTCAAGTACTTCCATGAATGCAATAGTCAATTCAGGCCTCAAACACAATTAGGAGCCAATTAATATTAACACAGCTACTGTAATTTTCAGTGTTGTAGCTGTGTTGGTCCCAGGATATTACAGAGACAATGTGGGAGAGGTAATATCTTTTATTGGCCCAACTTCTGTTGGTGAAAGAGAAGCTTCTGAGCTTACACAGAGCTCATTTTCAGTTCAGTTACTGTAAATCTGTTCTGTGAAGCTTATTTTGGGGAGTGGATAATGCCTTGGAATACCAGAGCCTCCAAAGTTTGTGCCTAGTGTGACAAAGTTCTGTCCTTGACTCCGTGGGTCCTGTGTTTCCTGACGGATTTTGCTAGCCTCAGAAGCTCACTGAGACCCTCCACATAGCCCTTCTCTCTCTAGAGGCAAGGGTCACAGCTCACTGAGCCAATTTCATCATAAGCCAACAAGGGAGGTGAGGAGAAGCAACCCTCCCTCACACAGTCTCTGTTGTCTCCCAGTATCAGTGATTAATCAGGGAGGGGAGGGGGGAGCCCGGGCCCACCTTCTACTCCAGGCTCCAGCCCAGGGACCCTAAAATTAGCAGCTATGGAAGCTGACTTTTTGGAAATAGGACATGTACAATTCCCTGGGCCACTTCCCCACAGCAGCCCCCACTCAATATCTTCTTCACAATTACCTCAGGGCCTCCTTCCTTGCACCTGATATAGATTTATGCTGCTTTGTTCCTCCCGCAGCTCCCTCCTATAGCTCCTGACACCCGCACCTCACTGACTAACTGGGAGGCTTTTAACTAGTTCCAGCCAGTCCTTGATTGGCTTCAGGTATCCCAATCAACCTAGCTATCTCCACCGCCTTCTAGAAGGATCTTAATTGGCCCCAGGTGTCTTCATTAATCTGGAGCGACTGCCATTTGGTTACCATGGTACCAGGGATTTGTTTAGCCTGGGGCTAACATACCTGTTCCTCACTACTTTACTGTAGCCATCTGGCCTTGCCCCATCACACTAGTTTACAGCTGCCAGTATTTTAGAATGAAAGGACAAATCAGAGTATTTCCATGTCTCCTCTGAGATGGGGATCAATTACTTGACCCTAACTTGCCAATATCTAAAGCAGAAATGGATTTGAGCCCCAAAAATCAGAACTGGTTCTATATATTGAACAATCCTGAAGTTTTAGGGGCTGCTGGGACCTGAGAGTAACACTGACCGAGGGGGTCTGTTCCCTTCTATGACTGAGCCTGAAGATGGCTGCTATTCCTCCTGGCTAATGGACTGCCGGCTCTGAGCTCGACTGGCAGAGTCCTGCACTTCGGAGCAAGACATTTAGAGTTTAGTACCTACAGTCTGCCCAGCCAGCAGAATGGTTGTTACACAGGATTATGGTTCGGGTCATCTCTGAAATAAAAGAAATCCTAACAATCCAGGTACTGGATGTCAAACTAGACTATCACAGTGGTCCCTTTTGGCCATGGAATCTATGCAGAGTATTGTCAAGTTCAAAGATCACACTGCCATTGCTTTAATGTTTTGAATTGTGTTGAACTGCGTAATTAAGTAGTCTGAATGGTTGGTCTCTGCGGTCACTAAGACACATGTTGTCTTCTCTTGAAGCTGCCTCCAAGTTCTAAATCTTTCCAAGAAGCCCAAAGTGAACTGAACCAGGCTGCAGCTGACCTGAACCAGTCGGCGGGGGAAGTGGTTCATGCTACCCGGGGCCAAAGCGGAGAGTTGGCTGCAGCCTCTGGCAAGTTCAGTGATGACTTCGATGAGTTCCTTGATGCTGGTATTGAAATGGCTGGTCAAGCACAAGTGAGTTTTGGTGACTGTAGTCGATAGCTGTATTACACTGAGCATGTAGGGATGTTAAACTGTGCTAGTCTAAACCTATATGGATGCAGTGGATGTTACCTGAGAGTCAGATCTACCATTCAGAAGTGACAAGAGCATGGTGGGGTTTGCATATTGTGCAAGATAGATGGATATATCTGTTCCTGGTGCTTGTTGAAACTAAGATTTCATGCTCATCCATGTAGTGTGAACCTTGTGGTAATTGATTTGTGAGCTGTATAGCTGAAGATAGTGTAATCCATTGCCTTTTCCAGTGGTTAGAAGCTTTGTAAAGGACCACTTTCTATTTTGGTGCAATTGGATTGTAATTGGAGTTTAAGTTAGTTAAACTTAAGCAGCTCTAGAGCTTGAATGCCCAATGCCCCAAAGAATCAGAGTACGAAGAGGACTCAGCACACAGTAAAACCCCTATAAACTGAACTTGGCATCTCCTGTTCAATGTGACACCAGAGCAGACACTTTACATCACATCCACGGATCTGTCGAAGACTGGAGTCAACTTGTAGAGAAGGTTGGTAAAGTGCAACGTGTCTGACAGCATTGTGTAGTTTTGCAAGGTGGAAGCCCAGGGACTGAATGGACATGGAAACAAAGGAATTATTTCACCCCTGTTCCTCCAGTCCAGAAATGTAGTTTAAGGAACACTAGGTCAGCACAGTACCCTAAGTGTGACTTTAATAAATTTAGTGGGGTGTAGAATGAGTCAACTTGCCCTGCTACCACCTTGGTTTTTACCTATTCTGCAGCTAACTGGTTGAATTGCAGGCTCCAAGCTACAAATCAGTGTTCTTCAACATCACTATATTTAGTGTCCCTTAAACCTAATGCTTTGTGGCTAGAGCTTGGCTATTATAGCAAAAAGCAACCCTGAATATTCTTGCAAACAAAATCCATCAATTTGTGCTGTGCTGTGCTGGTGCTGGTCAACTCTTAATCACTTACTCACAAACACTAGAGTGGGAGGCCTTTAGTCACAAGGCTGTTCACTGACATTAAAAATGTAAATTTTAGTGCAAATGCCTATTTGCAAGAGATTTTCTACCAGCAATGATCTTGTGGCTCTTTTGAAAGATTTGTCTCAATCACACAATATCCATGAATAACTGATTGTTTTCATCTAATGTATGAACAAAAAAGGATGCTTTCTGTCTGTAAATAGTCATTCAATCAGAACAGAAACAGTATCATATGACTTGCGTGACCTGTCATGTGGGGCAAATACAGTAAATACAGAAAGCAGTTCACATATATAGACTAAAACCCGGATCACATCAACTAAGTAAAATACAACTTGTTTGCAAATATTTCTAACATGGAAAGGCTAATTTTATTGCATAAATCGTTGACAAAAAAATCTAACCACTGCTGTTTGTCACATACTGTAATTCTGCAATACTATTTTCTAACTTCACGTGTATAAAGTTATTTCTTAGTCATTCCCTGAAAGTAATGTCATGTGATGTCAAATTCAAATTATTTATCAAATAAAGCTACATGGTAGATTTAGTTTTCCAGAAACTATTACTTCTTCATATAGAGCACCCCTACAATTACATGTTTTTGAAGGTCTCTTTGCAGAATTTCTGTTTGCTTAAGCCATTAATCCAGTAAAGGTGTAAGTAAGAGTGCTTGTAAATGACACAGAAGGTGCTAGAATATAGTTGGTACCCGTTGGCCGAACAGTGTGGGTCAGTGTGGGTCAATGTGCCAGGCAGAGACATACAAGAGACTTGACAACAAAAGCATTGTTCAGCAAGTAGTTAAATTTCCTTCCACTTCTCTGTGAATGCTCTTACTGTTGGAAATCAAGCTCCTTGTATATGGGTTTCTTTTTCTGCTATATGAAAGGAGCTAGAGGCACCTATCTGGGCAAGCAGAGGCGATGCTCAGTGGCCCTATCTGGAATGTCATCCCATGCATGTCACTGGTTTTAGATGGATAATTCAATTGAATTCCAAAATGCAGTGCTTAAAGTTTTAGCTGTCTCTCTAGCTAATGCAAACTGTGTACGAAATGTTATGCTGCTGTGGTTTTCCAGACTAAAGAGGACCAGATTCAAGTAATAGGGAACCTCAAGAACATCTCTATGGCCTCCAGCAAGCTACTGTTGGCTGCCAAGTCTCTCTCAGTTGACCCTGGAGCTCCTAATGCTAAGAACCTCCTAGCTGCAGCTGCAAGGTACAGGCATATCACCTGATTTCGTTTTCCTAAGAGAGTGTTTAACTGTTTTCCTTTGCAATCTGTATTATTTGTTAGCTTATTCTTCTGGTACTCTTGGTTAACCATATAGGATGTTCCATGTTTCAGCTTATTAAGTGAAACTGAAATCAGAGGAAGCTTGCTTACACTGGATTGGTGTAAGTCAGTATAGCTCTATTGAAGTCAGAGCCACGCTGACTTACGGCAGATGAAGATCCAGTCTGGTTTTTTTTAAGAAGACTATTTCTAATGCTTGTTCTTTGTCCATCCATCTACCTCCTTCCCTGCTCTCACACATGCAGATGCTGAGGATGTTGCTATATGCCTGCTGCTGGCATGGCTTTCAAAGAAAACTCGTACTAAGCAATGTCCTTGCATATGTGGGTGCGGGGAGAGATTTCACTTTTATTTTTTGTCTAGGAACCCGTTTTTTATTTTTGGAGTTTTCACCTCCTTTGGGGGTTGCTGCTGATCCCATCTCTTAAAAGTGCACTCCTACTCCCCAATAAAGGAGATGGAATGTGAAGACCTTATGCAAGCCTGCTGTCAGAGCTGCCCAAAAATCTGGTTAGCGGTCTGCTGCAGTACCACTGCCCGGTGCTCTCACCATGTTATCTTCTTTTCCCAAGTCACTTTTATCAAATGAAGTGCACACAATACATTTAGATGACTTAACTTACTCTGGATGTCTCTACGTGGTCAGGGGGAGAGCACTCTTATGTAACCTTTGCCTGCAAGGAAATCGAGAGGACGGGAAAACACCTGGCATTGTAATTTCATGTTGCAGAAGTTGGTGACTTTCTTGCAACTCACAGCATAATGAGAAGAACTCTGTTAAAACGTATCTGGAATGTAAATCCCTTTCACTGCCAGTGGAATCTCTGCATTTATCTTCATGACATTATGTAGGAGTTTGGTTCCCCAAATTTAAGTTGCACAGGAACTCTGCATAATCCATGACAGAAATCGAGACTGTAATAGACTCTGTGTAGTCTATTCAAAGTGAAATCTCTGCCCTCTCCTTATCATCCATGTTTTGATCAGAGAACACAAATAGTAGTAGTTGTGCGGCTGGCTGGCTTTCACTTTCTTAAAGCATTTTCATGGTTTTGGGGGGTTTTTGAAGTCATTTGAAAAATTTCCAGACCTGGATAAGTTACTTCCACTTTGGATTGCTGAACATGGGGGGTGGGGAGATTAAACTAGTCTTCAGAAGGGGAATATTAAGAGATTGGAAAGAAACTGGCATTTTGAAATCTAGACATTAAATAAAAGTGATTTCCAAGGTGAAGCTTGGACTCGATTTGTGAGTATCATGTTCCATTCACACCAGTAAAGAATGTATTGGGGTGAAAAGTGTCCATAGACAAATGAATAGAGCTATTTTTGTAGGTCATGAGATAAAAATTGCTCAGCCTCAAGATGAATGTGATGCATTAGCTGGTGCTTTCAGCACAGTGCCCAAGTTCCATAGACTGCTGCTTTTGACATGCAGCCTGTGTGTAATAAGAAGGGGGTGAGAATGATCAGCAACTCCAATTGTCTGATTGGACCTGTTCTGTGGTGCTAATATACGTACCTTCTGCTATGCTTTGCTCACCAGACTGACACTACTCATGGTGCAATGCCACTCGTTGGTTCTCAACTTGTGATCTGTGTACTGCGGGTGGCTCAGGGAAACCTGGCTCATAAGGTGGTGCAGGATCTCCTCTTTGGATCAAAATTGCTAAGCTGCTTTAAAACAATTATTTTTCCTCTCATTATCCATTTAAGCAATTACTGCAGTTTCCACTGGGCTGTTGTACAATTTTGGCTAAGAGTGTAGCATTGTACGTGTCACACTGTCTATGACAATGTGGTCCAGAGTATTAAATTGAGTTACTGCTACCCATCTCTGAGCACTGAATTTAAGAAATCCTCATTTAAGAAAACTTCCTACACATATGTCACTTGTGTTGTAGCAGATGGTCAAATGGCAGCCATTGTATTTTTCAGCATAAGTGTTAAGCATCACCAATATTGTGGAAATCTTTGCTGTGTATGGCTACTGTACAAAACAAAGGGTTGCTCCTCTGAATGGTGTGGGCCATGTTGTGAAATCTGTTCCAGGGCTGATGACACATTCACTAGTTTCTATACAGAGTCTCAAACACAGGACAAAACAAAACTAGAAAAATGGAAAATACATGCAACTGTCAGACTCGGGATAGCTCTAAAACATAAAATTTCTTAGCTTACAATCGTACTAACATCTCTCTCTCTGATATTCACAAAGCCATTCTTTAGTCCATCTATGCTAGTTTTCCTCTATAGTTTCCAATGGTGGGTACAGTTTTGTTAGTTTTGCACATGTATCATGACATGTCTGAGTGCCAGAAGAAAGCAATGGAGACACACATACATATTTGTATGTCTCACACACAAAAACTATGTTAAATGAATATTCAAATTGAAAAAAAAAATCATGGAACAAACCATGGCATTTGCTGATATTGTATTTTTCATTCTGCTTGTGTCTTAGACCCTCCCACTCTCCCTACCCCTGTATCTGCAGCATCTTTTCAGTTGAATTTTCATATTCCACAGAGAATTAACTTTGAAGGCACAAGGCAGTGTTTACCAGTGAGATGTAGGATAGGTTCATATGATTTAAAATACTTTTAATTGCATCTGATGTCGTCTGCGTGATCGGGTATTGTTAGCAGCATTTTTGATCTTTAATGAAAAAGATGGTTTTCAAAACACACATTTTTATTAGGGTCTATAATGCTGAGAGTCTGATCAACAAGCAACCAAACACAACATCCTCTAAAGTACACTCTGTCTAAACCAGGGCTTGTGTGGTATTTGAAATTGTTGAAAAATTTAGTTCCATCCACATTTGGTTATACAGAGTGGTAGTCAGGTTGAGGGCCCATGCCATAGACTTCCCCATGGGGTTTCTGGGCAACACAGTTGCTAAAGTTCTGGGGGTTTTTTAGGGGAGGAATGTTGGGTTGTTGTTTTGTTTTTGTTTTTTTAATAATTTTTGTTGTACCCTGAACACAAAAGTGCTACAGCCTGGCTTGCTAGGAAGTGGGTTTTAGATGCTGCTGTATTCTGACGTTTCCAATCATAGTGGTTGTGTGGCCAGGCTTAATTTTGAAATTGCACCATAACATTAGGTCCAGAATAAAATAAACTGTCAAATAATTTACATTTATTATGCATCAAATTCCCTTTATGAACCAAAACTGCAGATGTCCTAGAAACTTGCCATCATGACAGGAAGATCCCACCTGTTGCTTATGTGCTAGGTGACAAATGATTCGGACAGAGGGCTTATGTTTGAGGTGAGGATTGCTGTCGATCAATTTCACTTGGCGCCTCTTTCGCTATATTTTTCTCAGCAGGGGTTAATATTATGTTCTCTCCACCAAATACGATATAGTTCACTTACTCCACAAGCACCAGCAGTGAGAGAAGTGGAAGAACATTTGGGCTTGAAACTGCTTTTCATAGTGTACAGATGAATAAGACAAAATTGGAAATAATGGAAGTTGGTCAGTTTTCAAAATGTCTTTTTTTTTCCCCCCTCCTCAGAGCCGTGACGGAGAGTATTAACCAGCTCATCACTCTGTGTACCCAACAGGCACCAGGGCAGAAGGAATGTGACAATGCTCTCAGAGAACTGGAGGTATTCTCAAGCTTGTGGTCTCATGGGGTGAACCTTCCTGTGGTGAAGATGTCAGTCGGGCTTTACATTTTCTTTTCCCTGTCTGAAGAGCTGCTGTGTCATTGTCTCTCCACTTGATATCTGTGGCAGAATTTTTTTCCCTCTAGTTGTATATGAAATATGCAAAGAGCTTTCTAATGGAGACAAACTTAGCACAACTTCTACTGAGTTGGCCAAAGGGAGTTTACATTTTACCCCACTGACAGAGCAGTTGTATATGAGACTATAAAGATACCAGTCTCCACTGCAGTAAGTTGGAGGGTGCACACACAAGAGTCACTTTCAGAGGACACAGGGAGAAGGGTTTACACTAAGAAATCTTTCACTAAGATGGCTAATGGTGCACTGAAGGAAGCTGTGACATCTTAGCTTTTCTGATGTGGCTCTGTGTAATTGGAAATTCATGATTCTGAAAGTCACATCTATCTAAGAAAGTTGATCATGAATTACTCCATGATTTTTATATTCCTCTAGACTTCTAATTCCTCATGTTTTCTTTATCTCAGTCTAACTGAATGTCTTTCAACACTATGTGATCTAGTACACACACTCTATTGTGTTCTGCCTCATGAGTGTTGTGACAATAGCTCTGTAAATTGACTGTGTAGTAGATAGCTAGTTGGCTCTTGTTGAAAGGCCAAGTGCCTACGTTAATATCAAACCAATCAGCACCTGCTCCAAAATGCTAGGCAATAGTGTCTTATCACCAATTTAGCGTAGCTTAAGTTACTTAGGCGGCTTACGTCAACCTAACTACGTCAGTGTCCACACTACAGCCTTGCTTCCACCGATGTAAGTGCACTAGTACACCGACAAAATAACTCCACCCACACAAGAGGCGTAGGGCTTATGTCAGTGTAGTTAGGGTGACACAGTGTGTGTAGTTCTGAGGGAGGATGTTAATATAGCGGAGTTTGTGGAGGAAGTCAGTTGTGTCCGGAAGGAAGCTGTGGTGAGTGGTTTGAGGATGGTTTCTGTGAATCCCAATATTCCTTCAGTAAGGATAGGGCAGATAGGATGGGACTGCCGGGTTTTCTTGTTTGTGTATCTTGGGACACATGTGGAAGGTCCCTGGGTGGGTTTGGGGGGGATGAGTTTGTAGAGTTTCTCTTGAAGTTGTTTGGGGAAGGATTTGATGATGTCTTTAAGTTCCTAGGTAAGTTGTGGTTTGCAGTGGGGGCGGGGGGGGGGGAATCTTTGAGTTCTTTATAGTAGGTGGTCTAGGAGAGTTGTCAGTTAGCCTTATTAACTTAGTCAGCACAGTCCAAAAAAAGATATTACTTCACCTACCTGGTCTCTCTAATATCCTGGTACCGACAAGGCGGAAACTACACTGCATACTACATTGTCCCTACACATGCACACGCTATTTTTGTAGTGATTCAAGACAAAAAATGAAAAGGCCATGGGAGGTGGAAAGTGTTTTCTCTTCGTACTTTAAGACTTCCCTCAGCATGACATTGGCTTTCCTTGTGCAGAGCTGATGTGATCAGCACTGTGATGTGGCTTTCTTGCTGTGTTTGTAATGCTGATTACTGCCTTACTGTGTTGAGTCTTTTAGGGTACTTTATGCCTGTATTTTTCCATCATTCCTTCTTCAGGCCAAAAGGAACAAATAAATTAGTTAGGTACCTTAGATGCCACCAGTTTTGTTAGAAGCAAGGGCTTCTTAAATGATTGTATTCCAGAGGTCGTGATCCCTAAAGCCAAATGGTTTAGGATCTTGTAAGGAAATGAGGTATGAGTGGGATGATACTGAGACTCAAAACCAAATTTGGCCCTAATGAAAGTGAGTACAACACAGTGTAGTCACATTTGGCTCTCAGTTTGTTACCGCGTACTTATTATAGAAATTGTTTCAAGCTACAGCGTGTGACTTTGCCACAGTTCAGAGCTACTGCCAGGAGAGAGACGCTCAGTTTTCATCTGTGGATATGCCTTGTTCAGTGGGGCAAAAAGAATGAGTCTCTAAATCAGAAATGTTACGGTGCTGTGCTTTGTTTCTTCTCTTTATTAATTATATTATTTAGCAAAGGCATATTAATAGAGTGAATGGGAAATCTCAAATCCAATGATTTTGTGTATTTTGGGTTGGCAACAAGCATCAAAATGCTTTGCTTTTGGTTGGGGGGGGGGGGGGAGAAGGATGTCACGATGATGAATTCAAGCTGAAATCCAGCCAATGGTAAGTGTGTTATAGTAGGTGTGGGAGTGGAGATATGGCGCTGTCACACTTTTAATAACAGTAACTGTTTCAGTGAGCATTTGTAAGAACTCTCAGCAATAATAGTCCAAGGACATTGCCCTGGCATTTTTACCACTAAACAAAACACTTTTTTCTTTTGCTTTTAAATTTCAAATCACCTGTGTACAGTACAGTTGTGCTTAAAGTCAACTTTTCTCCTTGATTTACTGCATGACCAGTGTATGGAAATATCAGTGAAGAGTGATATTTTTAATAACACAGGCCAAGGAGAAAGTCAATGGAAAAACGTATAGGCTGATTACACAACTCTTCCTTGATTCTTTGATCCCGAAGGAGGAGTGGAGAGATGGGATTTAACTGGAGGAAAAAGCAATAGTAGAGCAGAAGGGGATTAAGCACTGAGTGAACAAATGAGATCTTAGAGCTGCCACCACCCAGGTTGATGTGACTGGCAAGCTCTGATCAGAGTCCCAGGACACAAATAGCAAATATTAGCAGAGCTTCGGATGAAAGCTTGCACAGTGCTTGCTCTCTCGCTATCCCTGTCTGTGGCCGTTACTGTTAATTGTCCATTTCTGTGAGACTTGACCTATTAATATAAAAGTCAAACTAGAAATGGGATTGACTGCCTGTAGCTTCTTCCATATAACATGGAACCAAGTTGAGAAAAGCAGGTGACATCTGTCCAGAGACCTGTAAGGAGCAGAAGCCTGCTGGGAGGGAATCCTCAACTAGGAGAGCTGCCAAGGACTGTGAGCCTGGCGGGAGAGCTATAAGCAAGGGGAAGCTCTGATAAAGGGCTGGAAAGACTTGACGCTAGAGCAAAAGCTAGGTGGATGCTGAAGCCAGTTACTAATTGAAATGACTAGTTTTGTCTGAGGAAGGCTGGGTGGAAGATTTGTGGTGTTTTGAACTTTGTTAATAAACCAGACTCTTGAAAAGGAGACCGTTAGTGGGGAAAACCCCTGCAGTGTGAAGTCAGATGAACTTGGGTAGAAGAGGAAACAGAGGCAGCAGCAGGGTCTGAAACCAGACCTGGGTGGACCTATAAGAAGTTTATAGGAGTTCCCATTAACTTTGGGGAAAGTCAGCATCAATAGTGTTACCCATTTCACTTCTATTATGGTTAAGCTATAAGGGTCTTTCCCCATCACCTGCCTTTTTCCCTACCTCATTCACCAATTTCTCCTACTAGCCTCCTCTGGGCTCCCTACAATAACTGGGAAGTACAGCTTTAGAGAACTCAGGTGTTTCATCAGTGACTTAAGTAGAGTGTCCACATACCCTTGGGCCTGCCCTGTGGATCAGATAAAGCAAAGCTGCACAGACTTTGTGCTTTCCCAGGAGTATGGAGACCTTGTTTCCATCTCCCAAGGCAGTTGGATGTAGCGAGTCATTCCTAGCACTTCAGGATAAGGAACAGACAGGAGGGTTTTTAGCAGCAGCAGTTGCATTTTAACTGTCAATCTGCTGTTCCGTTTTTTCACTCCTTCCTGTCATCTGTCCAGGGAGTCTTACAGCTCCTGTCTCTGGAGCAGTGAAAATGTGGATAGAACACGATTTGCTCACTGCTACTCAGTAAATTGCTACGGAGGGGTGGAGCAGGGTACTGAAGTACTCAGGAATAGAGAAAGAGAGGGGCAGGAAACAACAGCAGAACTGTTAGCAGAAGAGCTCTCTTGTTAACATTGCCTTTTTCATACAGTAAGATAACTGGCAGTAAAGCACTTAAAGGAAATGATCTTGACCGTAACTTTTAGGCTGTTACAAGACGACAGACAAAGCATGGCTCAACTTCAAAAAATTGCTTTCGAGTTAAAAGTTCAGCTCTGATAAAGATCTAAAATTTAAATTCTTTCCAAGATTTCCTTTGCTGAAAAAAAATCACGCAGCAAATCTTTCAGCTGTAGCCCCTTACTAACTTCCTATACTTCCTGATTTCACTCATGTTGGAAAGACCATAAGAATAGCTCATTGGGCTGTTATTCAGCTTCCATTCTTGACTGTAAGCATGAAAATCAGCTTTAAAAAAACAATTTAAGCAAAAGAGGAGACTCGCCTGTTGGATTTTTTTTATGTTGTGAGAATTTTTTTATCCAAATATATTGATTCCTCTTTACAATATATGAAGTAGCTTCTCTCTTGGATAACTCTGTGCAGTACTCTCAAGGTCTGGGTTCACCCCAGGAGAAGGGCAACTCTTACTTAATTCTACTTGTAACATAAGTATTTTCAGACAACATTTGTCAGAGGGAACGGTGCTGGGAGGTTCTGTTGGCAGGGGGGAAAAATGCAAGCAGATGGTGCACTTACATTTAGCCAGGTGTCTGTCTGTGTCTCTGAGCAGCAGGTAACAAGAAGTGGCAGCTTCTTGAATCAATTTTTTTATTCCCAGGAAGTCTCTGAGTTTGAAAGAGGGATTGCCGGTTTGTGATATGGTGACACAAAAGAAAGTTTATAAATAGTCAGCTACTAAAATATCTACATACTGCAGTGTCTGGGAATCATGTTCTTTGCCTGGAGATAAAGAAACTAGGATGTGCAGATATGTCCACTGGTTTCATTACTGTGGTAGTGTATTTGTCTGGCTCAGATCCGTGTTATAGTTACTGTAGTAACTGAAGCTGCTCTCCTTTCTTTCAGACAGTTAAAGGAATGCTGGATAACCCCAATGAACCTGTAAGCGATCTCTCGTATTTTGATTGTATTGAAGGTGTTATGGAAAACTCCAAGGTAAATCTGTTATTCTACTTCCGTGTGTATGTGTTAAACAATTTCTAATCAATGGAGGGGTTTGCAGGCTAATAAAATACACCTCTACCCTGACATAACGCGACCTGATATAACATGAATTCGGATATAACGCGGTAAAGCCGTGCTCCAGGGCGGCGGGGCTGCGCACTCCGGCGGATCAAAGCAAGTTCGATGTAATGCGGTTTCACCTATAACGCGGTAAGATTTTTTGGCTCCCAAGGACAGCATTATATCGGGGTAGAGGTGTACACTGGAAAAAAAATGTCTGCTTCAGTCTGCTTCTTGGAAAAATTCTTGTGCTCTAACCTTATTAAATTCCCTGGTAAAACTCCGTTTGGGACTCTTATGAGCAATCTTTATGCTGCTGTTTGGATTTTTTGTTCATCTGAAGACCTATTGTGCTGACAGCATTTAGTGTCATGTGATTGCCTTGTGATATTGTCTGAGATCTAACTCACTAACAATCCAAATACTTCAGGATACCAGCAAGTACTGTAAAATCTGGATTGTTTTTAGCCATTTTGTGTCCTGTGTCTAAACTTGGAAAAATCATAATCTATGGGAACTACCTTTTTTAGTTTTAAAGCTTCATTTACCCCCTCCTTCCCCTTCCCCCCCCCCCCCAAAAAAAGCTTGTGTTAATTGACTAGCTTTGTCTATTGGAATAAACCTTTGTTCCAACTGCGATTCAAACTGAAATTAGTTTTTCACTGTGTCTACTCTATAGTGGTTCAGCAATTCTGTAAGTGTTAAAAGGTACCACTACATCACCGCAAAAGTATTTTACAGTGAAAATCTTACCATACTCTGGAAATCCTCCCCTGAAAGTTTTAGTGCATCTTCATTTTGACTTTTTCAGTATGTGATGCATTGGAATAATCCCAAAGTCTTCATAATCTAAAAGAAAAGGAGACTGCCTAATGCACTGGAGCATGGAATTAGTTTGCTTTGCTGCTATACCAAAGGCATTGCAAGCTAAAAAAACCAAATAAGATAGGCTTCAGTGAGACAAACACTAACATTTTACAGGCATTCCGATATTGGGATGTTTCCTATATGCCAAGCTGCAAGTACTTTTTCCACTAAGTTTCAGCAAGTGTTTTGGGGCAGACAAAGAGGCTGTGCTGAGTAGTTGCCTCTGCTTCTGTGTGCAGTCCAGGAAAGCTTGGAAAACACTGCCATGTAGAGTGAAGTATATAGGGGGAATAATTTACCCTATTTTCAATTGTTAAGGTCCTTGGAGAGTCAATGGCAGGCATTTCCCAGAATGCCAAGACTGGGGGTCTGCTGGTCTTTGGAGAATGTGTTGGAGTTGCTTCTAAGGCACTTTGTGGTCTCACAGAGGCTGCAGCCCAGGTAACCACTTGTTTATGAAGCCTGTAAAACAAATATGAATCTGTTTCTGTATTTCTATATCGTGTGTGTGTGAGAGAGAGAGAGAGAATATTTGAGCTTTCATTCCTGTTGGCCAAAGAATCGGAATATTTGCATTGTTCGGTGTTTTTCATCTTGGAAGAGTTGGACAGACATTAGCTAATACGGCATCACAGTACATTTGTGAGGTGAGGGAAGCAATATTATGCCTGTTTTGTATGGAGGGAGAATGAGGCAGGGGGTTAAATGAGTTTCCCAAGGTTATAGAGGAAGTACGTGTCAGAGCCATGTCATGAATGTGTGTTTGTACCTCCCAGTTCTATGCATAGTCCCCAAGATCTTGCCCCCTGAGAACTAATTTAGTAGAAGGAAGCACAGACAAGCCTGAGTTATTTTGAAGCTGGGTAATTTTAGCTTTATGCCTTAAGTTAATCACAGAAAAAGTGTTCTGGAAGTAATTTCAAATAATGTCTTCAAACTATACATAATCTCATTCCCTTTTAGCACAGGAAAAGAGATTATGGTAAATGTATGTTTTAGACCCATTACAACTCTCTGGATATTTTCTCAGTATCTAAGAAGCTTAAAATATTGCAACATTCAGAGGTGGTATTAATGTTGTTGGATTGGTCTGCCAAAATTGCATACTTCAAACCAGCAAGTTATTGAGCTGCTCCCCCTAGTGACCAAAAACTATATTGCCTTCTCAGTGGAGGAGCCAACTATGAGGGATCATGCAGCTGCAAAATGCTCTACCGTCCCCCCTTCCGCCCAAAAAATGCAATTAATCTGTAACTGTGGGCTTCCTGGGCCCCACAGTTAGTCCTGGGTTGCTTTGTTGGGGGAGGGGATGGCCTGTGAATATTTTACTATCTGTAAGGGAAATCAGAAAGAAACCTCCAAACATAGCTTTGACTATATAAATAAATCCTGATCTCTGTGGTGAGAAGGGTAGAATCATTGTTTAAATAAAAACTGAGATTAGCACTGACCATTATGTGTCCTTACCTGGAGTGTGGCCTGCAGCTGCAGGTTTCATGGGCCCTACGGTCAGCTCTAGAAACAAAGCATCTCTTTTGTGTCGTGACTAAAACGTGTAACTTTACACTTTGTTGTACACTGAAGAGGATAGTTTTTTCTTCAAGGTGTGAAAAGGTGATGTGTGGGCAACTGTAGTCTTTAGTTTTCTAGTCATACTTGACCAAAATACTGGGCCCCTCAAAATCTGGCTGCTCTGGGTGGATGAAAGTTACCTTGAACAGTCGGCATCAGAGTTCTTACCTGTCTACCCTAGGGATAAATCCGTTCTCCTTCAATGCTTATTGGATAATGAATATCTTTACCCTTTGGATTTTGCTGAGCAGTTTTGTTTAGGCTAATGAGATTTCACAAATCATATTACAGAGACACCAGCTTTTATATCCTCCTACAGACTTGTTGCTAGGCATTTATTAATAGCAGCTTTGCTAAATGACTTCTAACTACAGCCTGACCACCCTGGTCAATAAACATTTGGCTAGCTCATTAAACAGCTGGAATGGGTTTAGCGTAATCTTTGCATTTGCTTTTTATTTCTTGCTCCCTTTCTAGGCCGCTTACCTGGTTGGCATCTCAGATCCCAACAGTCAGGCTGGTCACCAGGGGCTTGTCGATCCTATCCAGTTTGCCAGGGCCAATCAGGCAATCCAGATGGCATGTCAGAATCTGGTGGATCCAGCGAGTAGCCCATCACAGGTAACTCTTTCCAGAGGATTGTAATGAGACCTTTTCTGAGTTTTATTAGGAGCCATCTGTTTGCTTTATATTGTTGGTTGGTGAGGGGAAATACTCAGTTTGTGAACATAGAAAGGGTTTGAATCACTGTTTGTTCGGAATTAGAATGTCATTACTACCTCGTTCTTTTGCCTGGTTCTTCACCTTGTTTGTGCCATTTGTTTTTTCAGGTTTTATCAGCTGCCACAATAGTGGCCAAGCATACTTCTGCTTTGTGTAACGCTTGTCGCATCGCTTCATCAAAGACAGCCAACCCCGTTGCCAAGAGACATTTTGTGCAATCTGCTAAGGAGGTCGCAAACAGCACTGCCAACCTGGTGAAAACTATCAAGGTACATGTTCTCTTTCGTTGTGCTTTTATTTCTCCTCTGCTCTGCTGAAACAGAAGATCTGGTTAACAGTATCTCCTTTCTCTTTGCAGTACACTTTTTAAAATATTGTCATTCATTAGGAGCCTTCATCATGGACCAAAACCCCATTATGCTAGGTACTGTACAGACACACCTTGTGTAAACTTGAAAGTTCTAACACTTTAACTGTACTGGTATAGTTCAAGTGGCACAAGCCTCCTTAGTGTGGATGCAGTTATAAAGAAGCTGTATAAATAGTTATGAATCGCTCTACTGGCATAAAGGGGCTTTATACCACAGAGCTATTCCCATATGGGAAGGGATATAAGCTATACTGCTCTCTCTCACTCTCGCTCTCTCTCGTTCTCTCTCTCTCTCTGTTAAAAAGATTATTACAGTTGCAAAGTCAAGCACTCAAAATGCAATCTGTGCAACCTTAATTTGACCCCTTGTGCATATGCATTGTGATACAGTCTTTAATTACATGATCACATACCATTTTTTCCACAGAACTCCTGCCTCATTGAGTACATAGAATGGATGGTGCTCACTTAATGAGTAGCTGTTCAATATTGTTTTATCCTCCCCATTCAATGTGTGGTCCATGTCTTATTTACTGTACATTATTAAACTACTGCTTTGAAGATAGAATCATTAATGTGTTCTGGGGCTTTTCTGCAGTGCTCATCACTATAATATCGGAGTGCTTCACACTCAGATGACATTAATTTATCTTCACAACACCCAGCAAATAAAGCAGGGGTCCTACAGACAACAGCTTCCTTTGCTTCACAGCCATGATAGATCCTCAGAGCAGGTCCTTCCTGTGCACAGGCAGAAGACTAGAAAAAATTGTACGTGATTGTGGAATTAAAGATTGTATCTTGATGTATAAGCACAGGGGAGACTAATTAAGGTTGCACAGGCAACCTTAATTCTTGCAGCTCTTAACTTTTGAGTGCTTGCCTTCGTAACCTTAACAAAATGTTCTTTTAACATAGTTTTGTATGTGTAATTCCCTGGGTTTTGGGGTGGGGGTGGGGGTTAAATGAGAGAACAGGATAGACCTGCTACAAGGATGGAAAGTTTCATCCCAAACAGTTAAAGTTTGGCAAAGTTATAAGCAACTAAAATCAGGGTCGTCTAATGGGAAGTGTTGGGCAACCTTAATAAGAGGAGAGACTAGATTCATAGATTCTTCTTCGAGTGATTGTTCACGTCCATTACACATTAGGTGTACGCGCGCCGCGTGCACGGACGTCGGAAACTTTTTCCCTTAGCGGCTCCCATCGGGCCGGCAGGGCCCCCTCCTTCCCGCCAGAGCGGCGCCCCGCTCCAGGGTATATATATCCCTGCCGACCCGACCCCTCCAGTTCCTTCTTACCGTCCGTGGCGGCGTTGGAACAACTCTGTCTCTCGTCTGAGAGTGTCCCTTAGCAATAGTCATTTGTGTTACTTAGCAGTTATCAGTTACTTATAGTAGTGTTGAGCCAGTAGTTAACAGCTCATTAGAGTACTTAAAGTTCCTGCCGTGGTTGTTTGTTCAGCCCCGGCACCGGCCCTGGGCAGCGGGGTATGCCGTAGGCCTATGCCATTGAGCGACCCCCACGCCTCGTGTCTCCGTTGCCTGGGGGAAGCTCATCAGAAAGAGCGCTGCAAGATCTGCAAGGCCTTTAAGCCCAGAACTAAAAAAGAGAGGGACTTTCGCCTTAAGCAGCTGCTCATGGGGACGGCGTTACAGCCCTCCACTTCGACGGCACCGTCTGCCTCCGTGCGGAGCGCCCCGGCATCGGTGCGGGAACCGGCACTGGCGGGTCACCCGAAGCCCGCGGCACTGACCCAGCGGGGAAATGCACGACGCCGATCGTCTTCGCCGGCGAAAGCGAAGGGCCAGTCTAAGGCCCGAGGACGCTCCCCGCACAAGAGGCCGGCACCGATAAAGACCTCGAGTGCCCCTAAGGCCGATACGGCCCCAACACGGACCCCGGTAGTGGCTCCGGCGCCGAAAGGCCCGTCGAGCCCCGGGATGGGCGCGTCGAGTGAGGATGAAGGGCTAGAGGAGCTCGTGGAACAGCCCTCCACTCCGGACACGTTTGAGGCAGCTAAGGACCTCATCGCGTTGTCCGTCGAGGCCCCAGCACGCGCTGAGGGCGCTCCGCCGATGCTGCCACATAGAGGCAAGCCGGCGATGTTGCGCCCATCACGGTCGCCGTCTCGGCACCGCTCCAGGAACTGGTCCCGGTCGAGCTCC